GAAGAAACATCGTCAGCATGATAACGACGCAGGAAACAAAGAACAGGAGAAGAAGAAGAAGAGTGATGATGATGTCAGGGTCTTACGCGCTCAGAGCTCCGCCTCCTTTGGCGTGTCCGTCCAGCTTGGTGACGATCACAGACGCTACGTCCACTTTGTCTTTAAACGCTTTGGCCTGAGACTCGCAGGCCTGACCGATCGACGCGTCCATCACGTACACGATGTTGTCTGGTTGCTATGGAGACACAAAGGAGAGGGTGCAAACTGAAACACAGCTGAGAGCGCCACGGGTACCTGACCGCAAACCGCTCGTGGTGCGTTCAGGTACTCACCACGGCGTTGGAGACTTGCAGCATCTCCTCGAACAGCGAGTCTTCCTGTTTGTGTCGTCCGCTCGTGTCCACGATGATGATCTCAAAGTTCTCGGCTTTAAACTTCTCCACGCCCTCCGCCGCGATCACCACGGGGTCCATCTCTGTGTAACTGAACGCAGCGCACAGGTGTTAACGCACACAGGTGAGACGGACAGGTGTGGCGTCCACAGGTGAGCTGACGGCGGAGGGACACTCACCTGCCGTAAAAGGGGATTCTGGCTTTGGTGGCGTTCTGTTTGAGCTGGTCGAAGGCGCCTGAGAGGAGCGGAGGTGAGACAGACAGGTGACAGGTGAGTGACATGATGTGGCGTTGGCCTCAGGTGAGGTGGAAGCAGCTGATTGGTTGTTACCTGCTCTGAAGGTGTCGGCACAGATCAGACACGTCTTCCAGCCTTTCCTTTGGTAGTAATAGGCCAGCTGTGAGAACAGACAGACAGCAGGGGGCGCTCCACATCACAACACTGCATATACAAGTATAAGAGGCGGGGTTATCAGGGTAGAGGGGCGGGGCTTCAGCTCACCTTGGAACAGGTGGTGGTTTTCCCGCTGCCCTGAAGACCGACGAACATGATGACGTTGTTTTTTCCTTTAGTGGGGGTCCACGCCTTCACGCCGGGGTCGACCAGCTGAGAGGGACACACACGCACACACATATACACACACATATATACACACACACACACACACACACACGCGCACACACACACACACACATTTACTTCCATTTGAAGTCCTTGAAAGCTCATTTCAGGCGTTTCCATGACCTTCCAGGTGATCTGACCTTGACCAGCTCCTTGAAGACGGCGTGCTGGATCATCCTCCTCTTGTTCAGACCCGACGCCATCTCCTCCAGGTCTATGGCAGACCTGCAGGGACAAAAACCACAGAGAGAGTCACTGTCAGCACCGCCCCCCCAGGTCTGATCAGGACCCGGGTTCTGATCCTGGACCAGGTGGTTCTGACTCACTTGACGTTCTCCCTCAGCTGTTTGACCAGTTTGATGTTCACGTCGGCCTCCAGGAGGGCGGCGCACACCTCCTTCAGCATGGCGTTCAACACCTGAGACACACACACACACAGACACAGACACACACACACACACACACACACACAGACACACACACACACACACACACACACACACACACACACAGACAGACAGACAGACAGACACAGACACACACACACACACAGACACACACAGACACACACACACACACACACACACACACACACACACACACACACACACAGACGCAGACACACACACACACACACACACACACACACACACACAGACACAGACACACACACACACACAGACACACACACACACACACACACACACACACACACACACACACACACACACACACACACACACACACACACACACACACAGCCTGTAGTCATGTCTGCTGGTGTGGTGAACATCTAGTGTACACACATCTATAAAGCGTTTCCTGTCATGTGACCTCAGTGGGCGTTACCTCTTCATTGATGATGGTGGCGTTGCTGAGTGACCTCAGCGCCGAGGTGATCTTCCTCCCCAGGTCGGCTAACACCATGATGGCGGTCTGAGCTGATCCTGCAACAGAACCAAAACCGGGTCACATGATCTGACAGGAGACCAGTGATTGGACAGTGTGTGTGTGTGTGTGTGTGTGTGTGTGTGTGTGTGTGGACTTACTGTGTGTGTGTGTGAAGTGAGATCTCTGTCTGTGTGTGTGGAGGGGAACCCCCCGACTGAGCGCGCTCAGTGAGTCAGCAGGTCAGCTGACAGGTAAAGGTTCCAGAGCGCCGCAGACACACTCCCTCTGTGGGGGGAGGGGCATGTGTGAATTAGAACATCTGAACACACAACAACAACACACTCAGGGACACACACACACACACAGACGGTTACTATAGCAACAAGAAGAAGAGACACGACTCTGGAGTGGGAATCACTTCAAAAACTGTGAACACGGGTCATGAGGTCCAAACAGAACCAGGAACAGAGGAGACCAGATAGAGACCAGATCCAGAACCAGCAGAGACTCTCTGAGCTCTTGAAGGTTCAGCAGACGGACTTTAACTCGATGTTAGAGAAGATGGAAGTTCGTCATTCTTCTCTAAAACCAGAGATGAAGTCTCCTCCTCCTTCTCCTCCCAGACTTCCTCTCAGCTCCCAGTCCAAGTCCAGCATCCCTGATGGTCTGGGGATCACCAGAGTCCATGTCCTGGGTATCTTCTAGGGCCCGACCGATTAAATCGGTCAATTTTAGCTCGTTTGAGACTAATCGGCCAAAACTCGCCAATTTTCGCCGATATTTTCAGAAATAAATGCGGAGAATAAGATTCGGTTTTTCACGATCATATAATCGCCCAGTCCTAGTCTTAACTTAGTCCAGATGTCCTTCCAACATAGAACTGTAGATCATAGATGCTGCATCTCCAGGTTTAGGAGCAACATCTGCGTCCATCCAGACCAGGACTTCTTCAGAGGAGACCTTCAGATGATCCAGAACCAGATTCTGACATCAGCATGGCTCTGTAGGAGGACTGGGTGACTATATGATCGTGATCAATTTCAGTTCGATCACAGTGATCAGCTGTCAATCATGGTGGAAATGTGCGTCACAACAGCCAATCAGAGTCGAGCTTTTCCTGCTCACTTCTGTAAGTAACCGGAGAAGTAAACAGGAAGTAAACAGAGTCACCGAACGTGGAGCTGAAGGCAGCAGAATCGATGTCAGCCGTGACTCTGAGTCCTCCTCTGAAGATGTTATTGATCCTCTAAAGGTGTTATTGATCCTCTGAAGATGTTATTGATCCTCTAAAGATGTTATTGATCCTCTGAAGATGATATTGATCCTCTAAAGATGTTATTGATCCTCTAAAGATGTTATTGTTGAGAAGTTATTGATCGTCGGTTGTGTGGCGATGGTTCAGGTATCTCCAAAGTGACGTTGAGTGATTACGCCGATGTGTACGGAATGTCGGCCGTCGGGGCTTCAAAAACAGATCTGTTTGATTATCTTAAGAAAACATGAAAATGTGGGCGGAGTCTGTACAGCCTGTTACTGCTGACGGCACGAGTAGTATTAGCAGTTTAGCCACAACAAGCAGTTCAGCCACCAGACCAAAGTAATCGATCATATTATCTCGTGTTTACATTGAAAGGCGTCTTCGTTATCTCTGAGGGGGACGGTTTGTTTGTTTTGGGTCTTAAACTAGTTCACTGTTTTATTCAGTATTTATCTACATTTGTTTCACTTTGAAGTTAAACTAGTTTATATTTTACTAAGTTTATCTTATTTAATTTTCTTTATTTACTTTGTATGTTAATTAAATCTTGAACTCATCTCCAGTTTCTTTAGTTTTTAGTTCAGATGCTTTAAAACTGACAGTTTGAAAAATATCGGGATAATAATCGAGATCGGCCGATATGACAAAATATATCGGTCGCCCAGGTCTACTGTTTAGGAGAAGAGTCCTGCTGCTGAAACACTGGTCCTCTGTAGACCTGGTCCTCAGTAGACCTGGTCCTCTGTAGACCTGGTCCTGGTCTCGGTTTGTCTCTGCTGTTTTAATCGGTATCAAAATCTCGATAATATTTGACCTCTGACCTCTTCATCCCCTCCTTTCCTCTCTAATATTAACCCTTTTTTAAATTTCCTCTCTTTGCTTGTTTGTTTGTTTTTCTCTCTCAGCTGTTTTTCCTCCATGTTAGCCGTTAGCTTAGCCGTTAGCCGTTAGCTCGGTTAGCTCGGTGTCACGCGGACAGAAACGGTCAGATTAAAGTCTGTGACCGCGGAGGAACACCGAGAGTTCAGATTAGACCGGACTGGACCCTAAAGTTCGGTTCTAAGGTTCGGTTCTTACCGTCTGTCGGTGAGTTTGAGCAAACAGTCCAACAGGAACGTCATCTAATCCGAATCGACCCGGAAACTGTCAGCACTAACATTCTTCTTCTACTGAAGGTTTGACGGCAGCTACAGAGCAGCGTTACAGCAGATCACCGCCCCCTGCTGGAGACTATCAGTTTATCTGACACAAAAACACCTTTTCACCTGTTTGTCTAACAGTTTAGTGCAAATTTAAAACGTCAACTACTATATAATAGAAGTGAAAATATAAATATAATCTCTGTATAAATAAACTTCTGATCAGAGACACAAAAAAGGGTTTTTAGAAATGTTTTTTTTTTCAGTCAGTACTCCTTTATTTGCTCAGTTTTGATCACATTAAATCCACATATAAACAGAAAACAATGTTGTTTAATCTCATTATTACAGGTCATCTTAGTCTTTATTCAGAGGGAACCTGGAACCACTTAAAGGTTCTTGGAGACATCCACGTGGTGCAGGAACTATTAAAGGTTATTTTTACTGTCACAGCTTAATGTTATTATGTTATCAGAACACTCATTTGATTTTGTTAACAATTTGTATATATATATATATATATATATATATATACAGTATAGGTATATATATGATAGATAGATAGATAGATAGATAGATAGATAGAATGTTTTTCTTCTCCTGCTCTTAATCGGGTTAGAGAATAAAAAATGTACTTTGTAAAAATAACACGTAAACATGTTTTTTTTTGTTTTGTTTCTCCTTTCTGACTCAATAA